GTGGAAGGTGTCCCTGCCCATGGCAGGAGGTGGGACTGGATGGACTTTAAGGTCCCTTCCAACTCAAATCATTCTGTGACTCTATGAAACCCTCCAGGTTATTGTAAGCCTTTTTTCATAGATATATATCACTGACAGGGGTGTGCCCAAGCCCCCAGTGCCCCTGATTTCAGCCAGCCCTGCTCAGATTCGGTCCAGGTGACGTTCTGGCAGTGCCAGGGGAAGGGCAGGGGACACACGGCATGGAGCCCACTCAGAGCCACCACTCCAGAACCTCTGTGACAAAGCGCTCTAGAGGTGGAACAAAAATTTGGAGTGGATGAAATAGCAGCTGAGATTGCCTGCACTTGCCTTCACAGGCTGGGACTTTCATTGGAGCATATTAGTAACAATTTTAGAAAGACCAATATCAACTTCATTTATTTTTACAAAGGCTCTCTCTGCCCTCATCTTCACTGACTACAAGTGTCAGAGAAAGGTCAAAACAGCTTAATTTTCTTCTGCACTGGACAAAAAGAGCATGAAGAACAGCCAGTACATTTAGTTTATTTCATTTACACTCTGGCTTCGGGAAGGAGAGAAGGAATTTATTATCATCAAATTGACCCCAGCATAACCTGGCTGCTTTTATCAAGGTTGTGTAAATTAAAAAGAGAAAAACAGATATTAAACCTAAGATTAAAAAAAGATGCATCAACTCAGAGTGGTTAGATTTCAAGGAATAATAAATTGTGGTAACAGACATCAGAACACAGAACTGAGTAGCTTTCCAAACACAGTTACTTCAAAATAACAGGCTCAGGCACCACAGAAAGGAGACCAAGTCAAGCGGTAAATGAATTGAGGATAAGTTGATCGTGGTCCTTTATCAGTAAAATTAAACTTCTCCTTTACTTGGGAGCACTGAGCAAATATTATTTTAATAGAGATGTAATTCTGTTTTAAGATGGCAAGTGTAATGTGCTTGAGAAACAATATCTTAATTGATAAGGCAACATGTAGACAGGTAATGCTACCTGGCAAAGCTACAGTTAACTGATTGCTGCACCCATATCACACCAATCAGTATCTAGAACTTACACATGATCAGAATTTAATCAAAAACATGGTTTTAAATATATCCACACAGTATTTAAAAGTAGGAAAAATATACCATGAAAATATAACTGTTTGCCAGCTGGAAAAACCATCACAGGAATGTGAAGGAATCTGAATCTAATCCTTTTCCCTCCAATGTGGATTTTACAGTTTATTCCCTTAACTAAATGCCAGCTTAATGTGCTCTGCTTAGCAAAAATTATTTTCTTGATAGCAGATCTTAATACAAGAAAAACATGCAGTGGCTTTTAGCCTGGACACTGACTCTCTAACAGAACTGGGCTGCAGGTTCCTCCAGCACAGTAAGGTCCCAGAGCAGGAATTCCTGAAGTTTTGTTCCTAGCAAGTTAATTACAGTGCAGTGAGTGAACAGCTCACCTCGGGCTGATGCTGATTGTACACTGTGCCATTAAGTGGATCCTATCAGGCCACAGTGGTAATATTTCACATCCAGATGAAGCAAAACAAATGGTTCCCAACACAGCAATTGAAACATCCCAAAATGCCCACACGCATCCAGCAGCCAAGCTATCAAACTGCTGGGTCACTGGATATAAAATCAATGTGGGGATGAATCTGATGGATCATTTGTGTCCCAGGCTGCTTACACTGCCTGTACTACAGCTGAGTTTCATCTACTGGGCTTTCAGTTCATACCATGGAACCCTCGGGATCTCCAGGAAAGACAGAACCCCAGGACTAGCTGGACTTCAAGTGTCTCTAGAGGTGGCTTGGAAGAGCTCCCCTTGGCAGAAAGGGATAAGCAAAGCCCTGATGACAGTATCAGTAAAAGCAAAGGTGGAATTAAAAGTTGATGGCAGTTCTGCCCCACAGTTCTAGTCTCCAGTGGCCTGGTCAGCTCCTCCAAAATGGTCCCAGAAACCTAGCACTTGAAATGTTCCCCTCTCCCAGAGAAAATAAGGCAGGCAACCTTGTTCAATTTGTGAATCTTTGCCCAAGGTTCAAACTGTCCATGTTTGGTCCAGATTCACATCAAATTGATGGCAAATTTTTCTCCTAATGAGATGAGAATTTTATCCAGAAACACTGAGACATTTTCAAATCCCATAAGGCTACAAGTGACAACATAGCAGCAGACAAGCAAGGGGAAGAAGCTACCAGGAACATCTATACCTACCCAGGATCTTCCACATAGGACAGAAGACTGATACAGTCTAATCCACACAAAAAATGGACACAAATCCAGACCATGGTCAAAACCCAGTGGTTATCCAAAATTGGAATGCATGCACACTGGAAGCCAGTCTCATAGTATGTGGATGGGCCAGTGGACAACATGCCCTATTCCCTCCCTAGCAGAGCTTCCCAGTGAGCACAAACTCTTGAAGCCTCCTGTCCCCTCATAGAAGCTTCAGATATGCTAAAGGAGACACCACCATGCCATCATATGTTGCTCAGAGAAGCTGTGGCTGCCCCATCCCTGGAAGTGTTCAAGGCCAGGTTGGACGGGGCTTGGAGCAAACCGGGCTAGTGGAAGGTGTCCCTGCCCATGGCAGGGGGTTGGAACTGGATGAGCTTTAAGGTCCCTTCCAGCCCAAACCATTCCATGGTGCTGTGATCATTCCTGAGCCACCTCCATCTGCAGCAGCTGCTGGAGCACAGGACCCTGAGCCCTGCCTGCAGCACCCAGCTGTGCTGACAGCCAGCCCAGGCTGAAAGCTGCAGCTCGTGCCAGCCCTGGCCAGCCTGGGCTCCGGAGCTCCCTCAGGATGCCGGACAGGCACCCTCTGCCATGCCCTGCCCTGCAGGGGGGACACAGCCGGAGCGGGCACCAGACCCAGCTCGCAGGGCCATCTGGCAAACCACAATGCTGCCTCTGATCAGGAGCCAAGAATCAGAACCAACTGTTTTACTGGAAATATCTCCAAATATTTGCCAGCTACCATTGAAAATCCATGCTGGAACAGGACTGGAACAGCTCCTGCCTCCGATGCAGGTGTCTCTGTCCAGCTGCACACCGTGAGAAGCCCCTGTGCTGACAAAACCTGCTGGGCTGTGATAGCAGCTATGAAAACAGCAAGTAAACAACACACAAGAAATAGGCACAAGTACTCGGAGTAGTATCAGGAATACCAGCACTGCCTGATATTTACTCAGTGACTCACAGGGAGGAGGATCCACCCCTTCAGGCTTATGAGAACAGGTAACAGAAGAGCACATGAAATCACTGGGAGCTCAGCTCCTCCTGACCTCAGAGAACAAAGAGGCCTTATAGCAGCAAAAAATATCCTCTTTTCACTCTTCCCCTCTCTCTCTCCACCCTGCTGCACAATCTTTCTCCACAGATTAAAGTGCCACTTTTCACAGGCTGGGAAAGCAGAAGAGAGAGCAAAAGGAAGAGGAGATATTCCTGTCCATCCACACAACAGAAAAATACAGACTATACCAGAATAAGTGTTTCCAGGTGAGATTCCCTAGTTTTCCAGATTCTTTTGGCCAGAAGTTCACTGATAACATCTGAAGAGGACACTTGGAAAACAACAGTCAATACATGAGAGCATTTCAGAACTTGCTAACACCTTTTGCTTCAGGTCTTTCAGTTTTCCATCCTTTTATGCAGAGCTCTGCAGATTATACCCGACACCAAAGAGCACCAGTGAATGTGAACAGTATTTCTCTCTCCAGCCACAAGCCTCATGTAGTAAAGTCCTCTAACACTGCATCTCCCCATCCCTCTGTCAAGTCTGACACTCCTGAGAGGCTCTCAGTGCTACCAAATATACAGATATTTAAGAAACTCAGGCAACTAATGAGACACAGCTGCAAATCTACAAAAATACAGGAAAAAAGTTCAGGCTGAATTTCTGCCAGGCCTTTTTCCTCACCCAGAAAAGCATTTATGCACAAAAAAGGCCTGTGACGCCAATGCTGAACATTTTAGGGCAACTTCTGTGCAGACAGAATGACAACTGAGAGCCACCCGTGTTTCACCACTCACTCTCCACCATTATCTTTGAGTTTACAGCTGCTACTCAGCTCATACCAAAACGTAGAAAAAAATAATTACTAATAAAGTAACCAACAGAAAAGCAAATTTATTAGCCTAATTAAAAAAATCAAAATTAATACTGCTAAGCAGGCAAACTTAGGCTTATATGGTTTCCTTTTAGATGTTATTTATAAAGCGAGAGTAAAGTCTAAACCAAGATATTTTAAAACTTAACTGTCTCAGAAACCTTGGTTTTATTTCAGTGTTGAATGCAAGACTTATGTAACATTTCCCATTTTGATTTCTGTTATTAAAGGATTTTAAAACAAAACTGTACGGTCACTGCCTACAGCCCTAAGGGGCTGAGTACAAAAATAACATAAAAGATACCACAACCTCTACAAAATACAATTTTGATTTAATTTAATTCAAGCATTATGTTCCTTACTTTGGGGAAATTACTTTACCATCTTTGATAACAAGCACACTTCTTTAGCTCTTCTGAACACTGAAAGTATCATCTGAGGTACAACTGGAACAGCACTTGAAAATGCCTTATGTAATTTAATACGTTCACCAAACTAAACTAAAGTTTGCCTTACAAACTTAACTTTCTCATCGTGCAAATAAAGCACCTGCATTTTCTCCACACACCAAAAAGATACCCATTTTCCCAGTTGCTCACCTCTTTCACTAAGCACTCCGGCTTTTTCAAGGGCTTCCAAATTAATAATAATAATTCACTGGTATGGTGGAAAATATTCCCTACCTCCTCCATATTTCTCCTGGTGATAAAGTACCTATTTTCACAAGCACATTTCCGTGGGCTGTGCCAGCCCAGAGAGGCAGCGTCAGGCTAAGCTGAAACGAGGATGGATCTGTCTTTTGGAATGCTGATGGTCAAGGCCCAAGACATCACACAGCTCATCTGTCACATACAAAACCTACTCACCTTCAAGACACGTTATTCTCCAGCAGAAAAGTGTGAGTAGGCTCATTTTGGAAGATGTAATGGTCCATCAGTTTTTGTCCTTAAGCCTCTTTGCTCTTCCTCCCAAACTGGTGCTCTGGAGATATAAGAAGAACTTCAATTGAAAATATGGTTGAGATGAACATTAGATGTTTCCTGCTTTTTACCAGGCCCACTGAAAGGTCACCTAAAACCCATCTGATGGGTCCAGTCACTGAATCACTGTTGTCTTATCTCAGAGAAGGCTGTAAGGAATTATTTCCTGCCACCCTCACAGCTTACACATCTGCCATCTACATTACAGTAGCATATTGAGAATTCATCCTAAAGGCTGAGAATGGGCAGGGGACTTATTAAAAGTCATACTGGTGCCAGAACTGAGAATTACACTGTGCTATCAGAAGTCCCTTTTCACCTTGCCTGCTGCATTTGACATACTGACATATTAACTACACTTAGGTTTATCTCAAAAGCACAAATATGCACTTCTTGCTGAATTCTGTCTTGATTACCTTCCTTAACCCCAGAGACACTTGGTTCCAACTGTGCAGCACAGCCAGGGCACTTCTTAACCTGCCCAGGATTAGGAAGAGTTTGATGTAAATTTGGAAAAAAAAAAAAAAAAAGGCAAAGGAAAAGGACTGGGAGTGTATAAGAGCAAATGCCACATTAGAAGCAATTTCCCTGGCAGTCCCATTTTGCAGCCAAAATAATTAGATCACTAGCAAGAAACATCCCAAGTAGATCAATGGTGCGTTTACGAGATTAACCGAGGTCATGTTCTCTTACATCCGGCTTTTCAAAAAGATTCCTCCCCCAAAAACTTAAACCCTAGGGCTCCATCCAAATTAAGAATTCACTGTTGATGTACATCAATACAAACCAAATCAAAGCATTCCATAGCCTGTCAAGTGCTGACTGCCCAAGGAAAGGCCACTTGTCTTCTAAGTGAGGGAAATCTGCATTTGAGAGCCACCTAGACGCTGTGACTGCAGTTGCTGGGTGTTCAGAGATAACTGCCAACTCATTAAAATCCAGCATTAAAAGTTTATTAAATATGCAAACATTAATGGAATTGGACTAGCAGCTAGTCAGGCAGATAAAATTTCAACACAGCACATCCTGCAGTTCCTGTTATCAATGTTGTGTCCTTTTGGAAGCATCTGTGAAAGAGTCACAAAGCTGCTCAAGGCTCCAGCCCTTTCAGATTACTCAGGTCACACTCTCAAGGTCTCCACTAGCCAGGAAAAGACATCTCCTTCCCAATAATTACAGTTTGGTATTATTAATTACTGTCCATTTCCACTTTCACACTTCACTGCTTGAGATGTAAAGTGCCCCCAAGAACTTTTTCGCCCTTCAGGAATATCCACAGGGCAAGTCCTACAACCCTTTGCAGGCTCACAGGCATGGAGGTCTTGCATGTATCCCAAACTCAGTCCTTTCAATTCGATGCTGGAGTTTGAAAGAACCACAAAAAGAGGAGTGGAATGTCAAACAAACAATACAGATTAAAGTGCTTAAAGGCACCTCTCCTGAACGTCAGGTAACTTCACACACGCTCAGCATGTGTGTAAGCTCTGCTTGGAGCTCCCTCTCACAGCTCTCTCAAAATGAGTGCCAGAGTCCTCCCTCCCTGCAAGCAGCAGTCTCGGTACATTTTGCCCCACAAAGTGCAGTTTCATTCCTGGATGACTCTGCAAAGTCCCTGTGCTTGGTGAGTGTCTCAGCAAACCTCCAGGTTTTTGCAGTAGAGTGACATCAGACTTGGAAGTGTTCTTCACTAATGCTATCAGCACAATCTGAGCTAGCCCGGGGGAAAGGAGGACAAGGAGTATCTCTCATCACACAGAGCATAAACAAGCTCCTAAGAGTCTCTAATGTACCTCCAAGTCACCCGGACAATAGCCTTGCTCTCTCAGTAGTAGCTTCAAAGAACATCTGGAAGATTTAATCCTCCAATTATAGAGGGGGGGGAAAGTCCTCTCTCAACATACAAGTGTGGTCTAGCACCTCTGTCCTGGAGATATGAGGTTTCAGCAAGAAGATTGAAATGAAATCTTAGGGAGCAACTTGGAAATAGCATGACTTACCAAGGGAGAAGGGAAATGGAGTATCAAGTCCTGTAACCTTCAAAGAAAACACTGAACTCCTTGAGCACAAAGAGGCTGAGCAGGTTCTTTATTATCACCTTTCCTGGTACACACTGGAGAAGAGAGGGCTCTTGTAATTGTCAAGAACTTCCCAGCACCAGCCCATGAGACACCACATAAACCCAAAGTAAGGGTTTTCTTTCAGTCCTGCAACCATATGGGTCTCTCAAAATAGAAGGTTCAAAGATGCCTTGGTCAGGAGGGAATCAACAAAATCCCCCGTCCATCACCTGATGCCACACTGGGCGTCACGTGGGGTAGGACCTTAAGCAGCAGGGTAGCTTGAGGTCAGACATACAATAAATAGCCTCCCACTCCACAAACCAGGATGCCTGGGCTTAGATTTACATTTTTCGAGAGAGAATCGATACTTCCTGTTGGAAACAAGGGCAAAGAGACTTCATGGCAATCTAGGTTTTGAAGATGGCACTGACCACACCTCACACCTGGATTCTGGGGAATGATCTTTGCTGCTGCAGGGTGTTCAGAACTCCAAAAAAGCAGTTAGCTCACAGTGCTGGTCCCCAGGTCAGCTATACACTAACAAAGCTAAGGAAAACTCAGGCAAATCCTTTCATCTCTCAGGACACCTCATGATGACTTGCAGATTGCACATTCTGGCCCCAGACACAGGGGGGGATTACTGTGCAAACATTCCCTAAGGCTCCCAGTGCTAGAAGGCTTCTATCCAAGTCTGCCCTCAGTGGTCAGCCTACTGAGCTCAACTTGACTGCACTAAACAGAGTCCATCAACAGCTTGGATTATCCCTCCCCAGAGAGCTCCTGCCCCCAGGAACAGGCAATGGATGACTGAACACAAAAATAATACCTGTATCTTACAGCCAGCACCTTTCTCTGCCCATCAGGCAGCAGGAGGAGTCTCTAGCCAGGAGAACAGCCGAAATCAGTGCAGCAGCACCAGTATTTCCTCCCACTAGACACAGGAAAGTCCATCCAAACTACAGGATGTTGCACCTCGAGGAATATAAATAACCCATTAAAGGAGTGCTCTGTTTCTAAGGGAACCAGGACTCTGTGTCAGGTGTATGACACACTGACTGCAGCCAGGAAAAGAGGAGTCCTTCCAGTAACCCTACAACTATTTAATTAGTAACCTTTGAACTATTTAACAAGCAACCTTTAAACATGCTCATTCCCAAAGGAGTGTCCTAATGCCACTGAGCAACATGGTGAACTTCAGGTTATTATAAGGAAAATCAGGTAGAAAACAAATAATTCTATGAAAACTAAGGCATCCCTGAGCTCCACAGCACCACCAGCAAGAGACCTCAGCACCATTTCTTCCACCAGCACTGAGGTGCTGGGTTGGGTTCAGGTCTGGCTTCCCCAGAATCCACCAGCACTGGATACACAGCATGAGTGGGAAACTCCTCTTTGAGAGATACCTGAGCAGTGCAGAAACAGGGAAGGATAAAATGGAGAGGAAATTTCATCCCCTTTAGCACTGAGTCATCCTGCCACAGACTAAAGGCCACAGCTGTAGTGGCCACAGCACCAGGCACCCTCCAAGAGAGTGACAATGCACCCTGACAAGACAGGCTGGCACCGTGATTCGGAGATGTGGATGCTGGGGATGACCTTTCTCCAGGAGTAACAGGGCAAATCTGTTGAGCTACGACAGGAGCAGTCACAACTCCTAAGTCTCCAAAATGTGCACAAGGGTGTTTCCTGGCAACAATAACAAACCAAGAGAGTAAAATGAATGTTTTCTCAGCAGTTTGTTGTCAGGTGACCTCACCAACACCCCTTTGGGATCCTCCACCACCACCTGACCCAGAACAGTGACACCAAAGCTGACTCTGCTCAGCTCCAAAGTTGGACACCCTGACCACCTTCTCCCCTAGGGAACTCCAAAAATAGCTTTGCTAACTCAAAGCAGTCTATGCCTGAATAAACCACAGGCAGGGGCCTTTGTTAGCGGCTCCCACCACAGCGGTTGCCTCGCTCTGTAGATGGATGCAGGGAGAAATGTAGGCCACACATGCAGAGAAAAAGAGTTATCCAGAGTTCAAAGATGCCAGAGATCCCATTGTCAAAGTCGGGAAGTGAATGCCCATTAAAACAGCCTGCAAGTGCTGGGGTACAGCTCAACACGAGCCAGGCGGGCAAAGGGAAAAACACTTCATCAGAAAGTGAAAAAGTTGTGGTGTTCATCCCAACCAAATTGCCCGATGAATCATTAAAGAAGAATCTTTGTGATGTAACTATTCAGACTTAGACAAAGAACTCTTGTAATTAGCTCTCAAGTAATCCTCTGGCCACCATCTGGAGCTCAGCCTAAATCTTGACCTCAGTCACACCAAGCAGCCACACATCTGTGACACACACCTGAGGGTGAGTCACACCACAACATCGCACTCACAAAGCAGGAAAAATTACAGGAATGCTAAAAACCTGAGCCACTTTTTACTCTACAGGTTCTTCAATTCACACCCATCACGCTTAGGGAAAGGTTTCAAAGATAAGAACTTAAAAACACAATTCATCAACCCAATCTTGAAAAAAAAAAAGTTTCTTCCATCGAAACTTCATTTTATAGCAAACAAAGTTGACACATGACATACCCAACCTTCTTCCAGTAACACAGGAGAAAAATCTTCCTAGAACCAGATTCTGACAGGAAAAAAAAGACTTCAAGATATAAAATAACTTATTCCCCCACACATAAACAGCTCAAAATATTTTTACTACTAAAAGATGAAGAAATTCCTTTCCCTAAAGTACTACAGATTACTTTTGCTTGTTTGCTTTTTTGCTACCAGCCTTCTGATTAGTTTGAAATCCCTGTTGCCCACAAGCAAATAAGAAAGCCTAAGATGCCCCCCCATGCGCAAAACCTGGAAAAAAAAAAAAAAGAAGTTTTTTGAATATAAATGGCTCTGTGTTGCATGCTGAGCTCCCCACAGCAAAGCACTCAAAAGTGATACACACCACATCCTGAATAAAATTTATCTTCTCAGTACCAGAGGAATTCTATTTCCAGAGAAGTTTAGCAAGCAGATTTCAGACCTTTGTAAGAAAGCCCACAATAGCAAGGACAGAGGGATGGAGCAGGCTGGAAATGCTGGAACAGTTATGCTTAGTTCATATCTAAAAGCAAATCTCTGCAAGGAGGAGAAATGTTTATTTCTTCAGGGGATCACGTGTCCATAAGGCACAAAGAGCCTTCTGTAGTGGGAGGCACGGTCCCAGAGCAGAGACCTCCTGCCAGCTGGGCTCCTGGCACACACCACTCCTGCCAGCCAGAGGCACCAGGATGAATAAGGGCAAGATTAGAAAGGACTACCAGACTTGGCACCGATGATGAGACCCCAAAGTCTAGTTCTTTCACTACAGAGAGACAGACAAGGACTGCCCCCACAGCCGTACAAACATGGTTATCCACTCACATCATCCAGCACAGACTCCCAACCCTGGGAGCCTCTTCTGGGACCATTCCCCACATCCAGACCGGCTCTAGTTTGGTAGGGGGTGAGTTCAATTGACTATCTTTGCCACAGTACCTTTCTCCTGGCTGCAATTTCGGCAAGGATTGCCCAAGACCAAAGTCCTACACAGCAAGTCAATATTTAACTGGAGCGCTGCATTGCTGAGACCCACCTGGAATATTGGATATAGGAGCTTATCAATGCTTACACTGTCATCTCTACCAAAAAAAAAAAAAAAATAAAAGGCAAGTTATCTTCTCCATCATAAGTTGTGAAGGTAAATTCTACAGAGACAGCAGTTAGATTCAGCTTTAATAATTCTAATAAGGGACTTAAAAGAAAATATTTCCATGAAAGGAACCTAAACAATGGCACTTGTAAACTGCAGAGCAGATTCAAGGCAGGGTCAGGAGCACCACTGCAAAAAGCATTTAAAACTAAACCACACCAAGGTCTGGAAATTCAGCACTTGCTCCAGAAGCAGTATTTTAACACTGCAATTAAGTCATCAAACTATGTCACAAAGGCTTATATAAGACTCTTGGACACTACCAGGAGAAGCATTTATTCTCCACAAAATACCTGAGTAAAATCCATGACAGACTTTAAAATAACACAGTAAATAGTGATGATTTTTTTTTCAGTTAATTGTTCTTAGTCTTGGTGAAGGTAGCCAAACTGTTTATATTCAACAAACATTCTCTGCATGCATCTGATGTAAGTTTTTGCCAGTAGTCTCATCTTTTATCATCTTTTTGGACAGAGATCTTTCTAATGCGAGAAACAGCTGTCAAAATACAGTTCAGACCAGAACTGAGCAACTGAGAGTAATTTCTTGTTCCCTACATCTGTTTTAATTCCTCACCCACCTGTTCTCTGTGTCTAAATGTGATTTCTTTATTTATTGTTAGCATTCCCATCTTTACATTTAGCAAATACTGGTTTTTTTTCTCTAAATAAGAGCATCTGTTTTAGCAGTGATTCCAGTGGAGTGTTGGTGATAATAAATAACCACAGGTAAAATGATAAAACTTCTCCAGTTCTACATCTCTAATGCTTCAAAAAGTTTGGTCACCACCCAAAAGGTGCATTTTTTTCAGGAAACAAAATAAAAGTATTTTTACAGTGAAAAAGTAGAGGGAGGGAGCGGAGGGTAAGGGTCACCGTAGGAAACAGGGAGATAGACAGTAGTGCCCAGCCCTCATCTAAAAAAATGCAAAATAAACCAACAAAGTAACACCACCACAGAGCCAAACCACAAACACCAGGTCTGTCCAGGGAAGTGCAGCCTCGGGGAACACTTTCAGGAAGAGCTTAAGTGGTTTTGATCCCTGAACTGCCTAACAGGTAGACCTGCCTCTCCTTGCTGGATGCACTGGCCCAGAGACAGCTCCACAGATTCCATTTCCATGTGGTGCTAATTGGCAGGTGAATCGAGCCCACCACACAACCACTTACACCCGTCCATGAGAACTAAGGAAAACAGAAAAGCAGAGGGCTGGAAAAGAGGTGCACAGGCTCCCCCCTTTTCTGGAGTAATATAATATTAAACCAGCTCCTGAAATTCCACACTTCTTGATACATACAGTTACCACCAAAATAAAAATGCAAGTTTCCACAGCTCTAGTGCCTCCTCGGAAAAATCAAATCAGGACTCAAATCCATCTTGGAGTGAATGCAGAAAGTATTTACCTTGACTTTTTTGCTCTGCCTTGAGAATGAGATCAGTATGTTAAGATCATTCTATCTCTGAACTAGTAAAACTACAGGATAAAACAACAACAACTGCAAGTGAGGTCACAACAAGCCCTCAGCAGTTTCCAGCAGCAAAATTCCCACAAAGCTCAAATAAGAAAGGAGGCAGGTTCTTATCTGTTTTCTCAGAAGGTCTTATTTTCATTGCATTAAGCCTGCAAGAGTTAGTTATATCTACCTCCACCCACTAAGCAAAAACAAGGTAGAGGTAGGAGATTCTGCCCTGAGAAGTGCCCTTCCCTACAAGAAGGGTGCCATAGAATCATGGAATGATTTGGGTCAGAAGGGACCTTAAAGATCATCCAGTCCCACCCCCTGCAGGTGGCAGGGACACCTTCCACTAGCCCAGGTTGCTCTAACCTGGCCTTGGACACTTTCAGGGATGGGGCAGCCACAGCTTCTCTGGGCAACCTGTGCCAGGGCTTCCCCACCCTCACAGGGAAGAATTTCCCCCTAATACCCAATCTAAATCTTCCGTCAGTTTGAAGCCATTCCCCCTTTCCTGTTACTCCAGTCCCTGCCTTCCCTCACCAATTTAAGTGCTGCACTTCTCAAGGCTAAGCCAGATATTCCAACTGAAATATCCCTTCCACCCTCCCAAACTTCTGCCAGGTGAGAGAAGCATCAGAATTCCTACACTTAGTATTTTTTTACCGAGCAAGGCACAAAGCCATAGAAGCCCGCACTGATTTTTGTTGTTGTCAAGGGCCCGCGGGCCGTTTTGCTCAGACGGGATTAGGACAGACAGCACAAGCTTATCTCCGGCGGGATCTGCTCCAGGTTCCGTCTGGAGATTTACTCCGACGCGTCCTCCTGCCCGCACAGCGGAGATAACGCGACTGCTCACCCGCCTCAAGAGAGGTATCACCCGCACCTCGGCGGTGCCACGGAAGCAACTCCGGCTGCTCTTTCAAATGAGGAAAAAACCTACTTTTTTTAGAAGTATATAACACACAAGCGCGGGAGCCCCGCGCCTGAAAACAGGAGCGGGCAATTCCCGGCTCAGCCAGGGCAATGAAGAGGCGGCACCGAGGAGCACCCGGGGCGAGCACGGCGCCCTGAGCGCCGCGGTAACCGGGCACCCTGAACCCCCGGGCACCTCGATAACCGGACACTCCGTACCCCTGAGCATCCCGATACCCTGAGCGCCGCGGGTAAGCGGGCACCCCGATAACCGAGCACCCTAACAGATACCCCTGAGCACCGCGTTAAGCGAGAATCCGACACCCTGAGCAGTGCATTAACCGAGCATCCCGTAACCCAGGCACGCCGTCATCCCTGAGTGCGGCGGTAACCGAGCAGCCCGTTCCCTGAGCCCCAGCTCCCCGGGGGTAACCGAGCAGCCCGTTCCCTGAGCCCCAGCTCCCCGGGGGTAACCGAGCAGCCCGTTCCCTGAGCCCCAGCTCCCCGTACCCGCTCACCCCCGTACCCGCTCACCCCCGTACCCGCTCACCCCCGTTACCGCGGCCGCTCCGCCCCGCGCGCTCCCGCACACGTCACCTCCGGCAGCGCGCCGGCTGAGGGCGGGTTTTAAATGCGGTGGGCGGGGCCTGAGTGAGGCACCTGGGCGTGGTCTGAACCAGCGCGGGCGGGGCTGAATGGGGTGTGGGCGCGATCTGATAGGCGTGGTCTGTTGGATATGGGCGGGGTCTGTGATTGAGTGGGCGCGGTTAAAAGGTACATGGGCGAGGTCTGAGGGAGGAGTGGGCGGGGTCTGAGTCGCCGTGGGCGAGGTCTGAAGCCGGAGCGCGGGCGGAGTCTGAGGGGGTGTGGGCGTGGTGTGACGCGACGTGGGCGGGGCCTGAAAGGGCGCAGGAGAGGTGTGGGGGAACGTGCAGAGGTCTGAGGGGACGTGGGGGCGTCTGAGGGGCCGTGGGCACAGCCTGAAGCACAGTGGGCGAGGTCTGGAAGGAGAGTGCGGAAGGAGTCTGAGGGAGCGGGGTCTGGGGAGGGGCGTGGGCAGGGTCTGAGAGGGTGAGTGGGCGGGGTCTAATGTGAAGTGGGCGTGGTCTGATGGGCCCTGCTCTGGTCTGGAGATGGGGCGGGGCCTGATCAGGGAGTGGGCGTGGTCTGACGAGCTGGGGCGTGGTCTGAGTGAGGTGGGCGGGGCTTGGGGAGCGCGAGCGGGCGGTGTTTGGGCGGGAACGCCTGAGGGGCCGGTCCCGGTCGGGTACCCCCGATCCCGGTCCGGGTCCCCCCGTTTCCAAGGACTCAGTGACAGCAGCCCCGACAGTCTGAGATTACCGGCCCAGGATGCTGGGGATGATTTAAAACACCGCCTGCGTGGACAAACTGAATATTAAGACGCGAAGCTTTGACAGATGCTTTTAACATTGTAATTTATTCCTGGACACAGAAGAGTTTCTTTAGTGCTACATTGACAACTCTGAAATGGCGAGGATTTATTGATTACATGAATCTTTTTATTGTCCTCTCTGACGTTGTTACTGTCTCCTCCAAGAAACGTCCCTCTACAGTGACTTGTGTCCCTTTTATTTATATGAACGTTTATGTCGCATCTCACCTTCTGTATCCATCGGCTTGTGTTCTTCATTTCTGACTCCTTGCGTTATTCCAGGGGGTTGGATTGCTGTTGTGGATCAACACAACAGCACCTTGAACCACGTGTGGAGGCTGTGGGTGAGGGACTGTCACCCTGTGGATGCTGTGAGGGAGGGACTGTCCTCGTGTTCTTTGTCCTGGGATGTTTCCATGTCTCCTGTAGTGTTTCAGCTTGCTCCTAGGGATACCCACACTGTCTGGGAATGGGATACTTGGAGCACTAGGAAAGCTTTCTGAAATTGCTCTGGATTTCCCTTCACACTTCTGTTTCCTATCAGTGAGTTTGATGCTGGGAGAGGGAAAATGGAGTAAATTAAAAGGGCAAAGATGAACACCATTTATAGGGATGACAGCAAGCATCCTTTGCTGGCTTGGGCGTTTTTTGGATAGAGTGCTGCATTGCTTTTGGTGATATTGTCCACTGCAAACCAGCACCTGTGGCATGAACACACACACACAGAGGAAGAAAAAAGGCAGCAACACCTGTATGGCAGCACAAAGTGCTTATGTTTGTTCTCATTTTAAAGAATCCTGGATCACACTCCCCACTTGTATTTCTCCCCAGTGGGAGCTGTGACAGCCACGTCCATCACACTGTGATTTGCACACTAAACCACAGGGGAGTTTGCTGCAGGTCACTGATAGTCTGGGAACAGGTTTCCCAGAGAAGCTGTGGCTGCCCCATTCCTGGAAGTGTCCAAGGCCAGGTTGGACGGATCTTGGAGCAACCTGGGCTTGTGGAAGGTGTCCCTGTCTATGGCAGGGGGTGGCACCGGATGATCTTTAAGGTCCCTTCCAACCCAAACCATCCTGTGATTCTATCTCTCCACAGACTTGCTTTGTCTTGTATCATCCCAACAGGAAGGTCTCTTCCTGCACAAGCAATACCACAGCTTGCCAGGAGGTGTTGCTTGGAATCCACACAAATATCTGAGCTTAAAAATCTTGAAATACCCACAGACTATTGAAAATAACTGACAGATACTTTTATCTGGCAAGGAGAAATCAAAGCCCTACCTTTTAAACGGCAATTTTTGCTTAAGACAGTTTAAATCTGAAATGCACAGAGTAGTAGAGAGGGAGATAAATGCTGAACAGGTGACCCTCTCACTGGGGAAACACTGTGGGTTTGAACACTGCTAACAAATATGTTAGACCAGCTCTATGTGTGCATGGCTTTATGTTTGCAGGTCTAGATGTTAAAATATATACAAATGCAGAACAGACATGATGCAGTGGGGAATTTTAGAGGGGTGACTGGTTTTCAAGAAGCCAAGGAGCAGAGTGAAGACCCAATAAGGCAAAACTTCTTCAAGGCCAGGTTGAAGCAACCTGGCCTAGTGAGAGGCGTTCCTGCCCATGGCACAAGATGAGTTTTAAGGTCCTTTCCAACCCAAACCATCCTGTGATTCCACACAAACAGCTGCCCTGCTCACAGAGCTGGGTCACTGCTCTTCACTCCTGCACACACACATTTTAAAGGCAGATGAGCTCATTGTTTCTAAGGAGGAGTGCAGAGATGGATACACAACTGTTCACCTACATATTAAGTTTTAACTACATATCAACAGCAGCAAAGTTAATTGTGTATTTACTTATGCCCAGCCTTCTTTTGCAGAAGATCTTTCACCAAAGATGAGGAGACAGAGAACATAGTACTGGACAAAACATTATAAAGATGAGGAGATCAACAGCTCTTTTTACAGCAAATAATTGTTTTTAAAACCAAAAGAAACATTTTACAAGTCATGGCTATAAAAGGGAAATCAGAAAACAGTTGGTGGTGGATTTAACTGGCCCTCCAAGCCGTTGTTTAAACACCAGGGTGTAATTCAGGGCTGATGTTTAGACCTGCTACTGTCAAGAACAAGCAAGTTTTCAGGGTTCCTGCCTCTCTCAGCACTGTGACCACGGGTTTTGCCACAAATCTCTGCTCAGATTACACAATACAGCTCCTTAGAGCTCCCATGTTCCTCAGAGGTTGTTTCAGCAGAAATGCTTTGCTTCTCCAGCTGGGACATCAGTGCAGAGTGTCCTTTCCCGATGCCTCTGGGGTCAGAAGTGAACAGGCTTTGTGCAAAGAGTCAGAGAAGCATTTCCGAGGGGTTTTTCTGCTGTGTGAATAAGGCTATGGCAAATCAAGATGCATCTTCCTGAGTACCTTGCAGCAATGATACCCTGGAATAAAAATTAAGCTGAGCCTCCTATAAATAAAGTACTTGATTGTATCATTCAACGCTTCCTGAAGAGGCTGATGATCCCAGGAGGTTGTAGGAGACTTGACACATTCACATTGCTCCTGCTCAGGAAGAAGCAGGAATCTTCTTCTTTTACCAAGGAGGGGTTCAAAAGACAAACCAACACATTCACATCCATTGAAATCTGCCCTTTGGTGAGGAAATCTGTCCTCATTTCCACTTCTAGTAATGGAGTTTCTAAGGATTTGATGTGGAAATTGTTTGAGAAGCTGTTTTCCAAGCTGGAATGGGTGCCACGTGGATTTTCTGAGCACCACCTCTGCAGTGTAGTCGACAGAGCAGTAATCAGAGGGATCTCGAATAGCGGGACCTCCTCTCTTCTGGCAGGCCTAGGGCTGGAGGAGCTGCCACCCTGACCTGTGGTTCACAGCCCACAGCTGCCTTCCAGCAAAGCACAAACTGCCAGGCAGTCACTCAACGGCTTTAGAACAGAAGGGCTGAGAGGAACCTCCACGGGCTCTTGGAGAAACACAAAAGTTTCCAGGAACAATCTGGCCCATCCTGATCACACATTACTAAGGCTGAGTGCACCCCCAGGCTCTGCAACCTGCACCCTCCCCATGCTCAGTGTCAGCCCTGATGGAGCAGAGCTGCATAGCCTCAGGTCTCATTACTGTGAAAACTTGCTGGGAGAGGGAAAAGCAGGCCTGTGCCATGCACTCATCTTCCTCCACTGGTCTGGGAGCTGGATTTAAGCACTTGGTCCTTGCACAACTCCAAACACTTTAAATTTTTCTACTGTACACACTGAAATGCATTTCTTCTTCTCACTACCAAACTCCATTTTTCTTGAAGGAAAAAAAGAAAAACAAAACCAAAAACAAACAAACACAAAAACATAAGGTTTACAACAATATGCCTTAAACATTTACCGGATCCTTTCCATGGCACTGTAGAACTTTCTTCTCTTTTTTTTCTCTCTGAGCTCTCTTTTCCTGGCTCAGCAGGGGCCTGGTTTATCACAGCTACAGCAGCTGTGTTATTAAAGGACAAGTAAACCAGACCTGTAAGTTATAAATACAAAGTACAACTCAGAGTGATCTTTGGTTTCATCCTGGTTAATAAAAACACGACAGGCCAGGCAGCCCTTTGAGGCATCATTTACACCATTTCTATAAACTCCCAAAATACTCTGTTCTACAAACATGGCAGAGTATTATCCCTGGTATGGGTTGTTTTTTTAACATTACATGGTAAATAACAGAAGAGCTGTAGTGATCCAACACAACAGCTATTACAATAAAGTTTATATAAAAGCAACAGATATATAAAGGCAACCATAAAGGTTTCTTTGAGTGAAAGACCTTCCTGTACACATAAATCAAGTTCTAAAATTATCTGCACCTGTTCCAGACCAGGGAATGAGCTGTAGCCCCTCTGCCCAAGAGACATAAAGGAGAGATTATAGATAAATATATATATATATATATATGGATATTTTTTAAATATAGAGAGATATCAAAACATTTCAGGTTGACATTCCACAACAAGCTCATCAGAGTACAACACACCCCACCCCATAGTTGAAACCAACACTCTACAACCCATGGGAAAAACCAGCCCTTATTACACACCTGTGTCGGGGAGAAGCACCAGGGATAGACAACCAGGCACCAACAGAACCACGCAAAAAGCCATCTGTTCCTCAAACTCCAGG